CATTTTCTCAAACTTTAAATATTGATATAACTGTTATGTCAGACATTATAAATGATAAAGATATTATATTATCAAACCAAATGTAATATAATATTTGTTCGGTTTAGTACAAATGAATTTCATATGTAGAGTTTGTAAAAAAAGGAAAAGAAAATTCATACACTTTAAATTATAGTTAAATTAGATAGCAAGTACATATATATGACTTGAATAAAACTCAAATTTAATTATTTTTTCCCTCCATTTTAATATATAAAAAAAAATAAATGAAACTCTAAATTTGAAATTTTTAAAAATAATATTTAGTGATTTACAGCTAAATTGAGGCTAATAATCCTCTTCTTCAACCTAAATTTCTTACCATAGGGATGCATGATGAGCACATATCACGAGGAATCATTTGGCTTTATATGGGAGTAAATTTCCATCAAGAAGAAGAGAGCCCCACAATTAGCTAAGTAAAAAAGAAGCAAAGAAATTAGTGTTTGGGTTAGGGTTAGGGTTAGGGTTAGGGTTAGAGTATCCAATGCTCTCTCTAACTTTGGATTTCCTTTTTTCAGGCATAATAATAAGAATCCGAAGATCTTTGTCTCAAAAATGAAACAAAAAGATACAAATAACAACATTCTATTTCTACCCACATGCTTACACAGTGCATTAACAATAGCCTAACCCCACCATGTGCCTGCATTTGCATTGCTCCTTCTTCTCTGATAGTGACCATTTTTTTTTCTTTTTTCTTTCTAATTTCCCTTCTTTGTGAAGAAGCCCACTTGAACTAACAGATACGTGTATGGAAGAAGCGGATTGCATTTCTAGATAAATTTTTACCTGTAAAATCATAGAATTTAAAAAATCTAATTTCAATCACTTTTAAAGAACTTTGATTGAGTCAATCAAGTATTCGTTTCATTGGTTTTCTCACTTATGTAAATATTGAAAGATTTCGAATTCGAGTCTTTTTTACTACAATTGTTTTTATTAATTTGGTGAGCATTGTGTAACCGACAGTATTATCTTAAATTATTAGATATCTAATGAATTAAAAAAATTATTTTATTTCAATAACACCTGGAGTCTAAATGTAAGAATAAAAAAAGCTTGTTTAATGTGAAATTGTTTTTAAATTTTTATAATAATCAAAAAATAAATTATTATGAGGTATTTACATTTATTAATTAAAACTTCAAAATATAAAAACAGATTACCACAAATAATATTAATAAATGAAAAACTATTTTGCTTATTGAAATTTGAATTTACAATCTTACATCCCGTTTAGAAGAAATAAATTATGGTTATAGAATTCATTTATAAATAAATTTATTTATAAAAACTTTGGTGAAGCATCTGTGTAACCCGACAGTATATCCTATATTATATAGTATATATTCTAAGTGAAGAGATTAGAAAAAAATTATTTTGGATTATAACCATAACAACTCTAGGAGTCTAAATGTAAGAAAGTAAAAAAAGCGAGTTGTTTAATGTAGAAAATAATAGATATCTTTAAAAATTACATATCGTTATAATAAATGTCAATAAAAATAAATTATTATGAGTATTTACATTTATTGAATTAAAACTTCAAAAAATATATAAGAGGCGGAGATTACAACAAAAAAAAATAGATATATCGAAGTAAAAATGAAAAACTTTATTTTTGCTTAATTTGAATTCTGACTTTTATGAGTGTGAGAGGTGCACGTTTTGAGAAGAGAGAGTGAAAATTAGTGGGTTATATGAATCTCACTTATAATTAATCTTCATCTTCCCATAAACTGATATTTGTCATGTTTTGGTAATCTACAATTTAAAATAAAATTCAATGTGATTCTAACAGAAATTTCATATTTTGAATAAATTCCTGTAAAGAACAATTAATTTCGTCATGGTTTTTATTAATAAGTAAATTAATAAAATTTCATATCAAAATCCAGTACACACTAATAATTCCCATGGCGTGAATTGTACTTTGAATTATATAAGCGAAGTAAACATCATCCATCAACAATTTTTTTAATTGATGTAAAAAAAAAAATTTAATCTTGATTTAAGTAATCTTAATTTTGGGATACACTATAATAAAAAATTTTCAAGAAATATATAACTATAAGTTTGCTACCAATGCATTTGAAGAAGCAATTTGTTGATGCTTCAGTTTTTATAGTTAATTATTTTTAATTGATGTAAAAAAATTTATTGATTTAAGTAATTAATTTGGAAACTAAAAAAAAAATATTAAGAATATTACTATTGTTTCTACCTGCATTTGAAAACAATTGTTGATGCTCAGTTTTTATAGTTTCAGAGTAATAATAGTTAAAATTATTACTAGACTTCAAAAAAAAAAGTCATTATTAATTTGAAATTTTCCAAAAAAAAAAGGGAAAAAAAATAAAAATATAAACTAACGTCATTATTGGATTAAAAGAAAATAACGTTGTTATAGTTTGAAATTTTCCAAAGAAAATAAAGAAAAAGGAAAAAAAAGGTAAAAATAGTTGAGTTTATAGTGGAGAATAATTTTGTTAATAAATATTTCAATAGTCAATTTTATAGAATTTATTTACAAATTTCATTATTTTTAATAGAATTTGAGTTAGGCATATTCAATTTCATAGAATCCAATTTGTAAAAATTCAAATATGTTTTTTTTTTTTTATTCCAAACACAACATTTTGAATTTCTAAATGAATTTTATAAATTACAAATGCACCCTTAATGTTTTTGATAAGTATTTCAGATTTTTAGTATCAGTTAAATTGATTTTATATTAAATAATAATAAAATAATTGATACCAAATGGGAACTTTAACATTTTACGTTCTTGGATTCTACCAACCCTGTCTTTTCTCCAAGTTCACCTTCCAAAGCCTACCCAAAACAATATACCATAGCTCCCTAATTTCATGAAGGGCCCAAAAAGTGATTATTAGGTAACATCCAACAGTATTTCTTAGAAGTTTCTCAAAAGGAAGGAAATTAGGAATCCAAGATTATTTTATAGGAAATTCTTGTTTTGCTTTTGAGTAATTTTGATTTAGGGGTATATAAATAATCCATCGATCAAAATGAACCGAACAGAAGTAGATTAAACCAAATCAAACTTTTAAAATGAAAACTGTATATAGGTATTTTTCAGATTGATTTAACGAAATGGAAATCAAATTTAAAAAAAAAAATTCAATTCATTTATTTAAATTAAAAATCGAAAAAATTCAGTTGACAAGTGAAGAACAAAAAAATGGGTGGGGAAGGAAAATCCTTGTGATTTTTGAACTTGTGAAGTTCACAAGGGAAATTTCCCTACCTATTTGTTTGGATCGAAGCAAGTACCTTTTTGTACCAAATGTTTATATGGGTATACTAAGATTGCCTTTCATTTCAATTTTAAGTAAATTACCATGTTCTTGCAATACCGTGGTACTGCAAAGTCCTATATGTACCTCTTCTCCTTTTTTTTTTTTTTTTTTTTTTTTTTTTTTTTTTTTTTTTTTTTTTAGGCCGGTGGTACTCGCCAATACGTCTATACTGTAGGTCTTCTTCCTTTTTTTTTTTTTTTTTTTTGTTCTTGTATTCTTGTAATTTTATTTTGTAAACATTGACTATCTGCAAGCTGCGAATCTGGATTGAAGGGAAGTTGCCTTTCGTCACCCCGCTATCTTGCAAGGACTACACACTATTTCTCCATAAATATAACAAATAGGTTAGTAATATCGATTTACTTAAATTTTCTTAAGTAGGGCCGAAAAAGTTTTGATAAAATCAAATTTATTGGATGACTTTAGTTGTATATTTCAATTTATGCTTGTCCAATATAATTTGGTTTGATTTTGATTTTTAATAAAGGGAGAAAAATTAAAGAGTGCTTTTTTGATATTCCACGATACAAAGATTTTTTTAATATTAAGTCCAAATTTGTTCAAAAATAAGAATCAAATTGATTAAATTGATTTGAACCGAAATTGACTGAATTCCTTATTTTTCAATTTCTAATATAAAAATGTTATGCCGTCATTTTTTTTTTTTTTTTTTTTTTTTTTTTGTATTTTGTATTTTTTATTTTGTAAATTGACTATTGCAAGTGGGAATTGATTGAAGGGAGTTGCTTTGTCACCCACTTGCAAGGATCTAACACTATTCTCATAAAAACAAAATTAGTTTGATTTACTTTCTAGTAGGGCCGAAAAAGTTTGATAAAATCAATTAAATTGGATGACTTTAGTTGAATTCAATTTAGCTTTCAATAAATTTGGTTTGATTTTGATTTTAATAAAAGAAAAATTAAAATCTTTTGATCCGATCAAGTTTTTATTAAGTCCAAATTTGTTCAAAAATAGAATCAAATTGATTAAATTGATTTGAACCGAATTGACTGAATTCTTATTTTCAATTTCTAATAATAAAATTTATGCCGTCATTTATAGAAGTATTCTATATTTTAATTTCAAACTACGTGAAACAAGAGTTCTTTAATACCAATATAGTTATACGAAGCATAATGTTTATAATAAAGAATGATAGTGTACCAATTTCTTCTTCTTATTATTATTATTTTGCTCTTAACAACAAAAATGTTATGTAACCTAAGCCATGTCATTGAAGTCAAAACAACTATTACAGTTGGGATTTTTTTTCTTTTGAAAGGTGTTACAGTTGGGATTTGAACATAGGAGCCACCTAGTTGTTATTATTAATATCTCGCCCCTCTCCAGAGAGAGGAAAAAAAATAAAAAAGATTAGTTATTATAAAATACTATACAAGTTACTAAAATTTAATATCGATGCAATAGATATCAACAAGACATCACATATTATTATTTTTAGTCGATCAGATATATTTTGATTAATTATTTTCGAGCTTGAGTCCTCCAATTACCCTTATTGTGAATGATATGTTACTTAAGAAAGTGCATGAACAAATATAGATATAACAAGAGTGGCTTTCAATCTTATAATCAAACAATTTCAAAAGGGTGAAATGAAGAAATTTAGAATATAGAAGACAAACCAAATAAACATTTCTCAAATTCAACTATAAATTAGTACAATACACTTCTCAAATGTATACCCATCAACATATATATAAAAAAAGGTTGCGGGCTAACAATTTTTGTTTCGCCGCTTCAACCACTAAACTAAGCGTTGCAGCTCTAACACACCAAACCCACCGATCACAAAGTCAAAAAATATAACAAAGTCTCCATTTTCACTCTTGTTTTAGTCCCTCTCTGTCCTCTAATTATGCAATTACTGGAAAAACCCATACACCCATGTCAAAATATGCTTATGAAATAAAGAAAAAGAAAAAAAGATGGGAACCAAAAAGGGTAAAAATGGAAATAGATTATGGCGGGAAACATGAATTCTTTTTATAAATTTCTCACTTTCTCTTTCGGTTAAATTGGAAAATCAGACTCTGAAATTCTTTCCACTGAATGTTTGACCAAACTGCCAGTTGGATGGGACTATGTTCCATGAAGTGGAACTGCGTCTGTCACTGCCTGTGACTCTGAACGAAAGTGACTGACCAACCAAAACAGCATTTGACTGCCAATTTTGACCCCAGTTACGGCTCATGCTCATCCACCCAGTCCTTGTGCCCTTCACGCTAACCTTCACGATATCCCCTGCACCCGCCACGTTGGAGATCAAAACCAAGTTGAAGTAACGGAATCCGTTAATTGTAAACCTGATACCGCCGCTCTTGCGGCATGGCACCCTGCATAAATAAATCAAAACCCGTAAGGACAATTGGGTCATTTTATAAAAAGAGAGAAGGATAGCATGGAACACGGAGCGTAATTTTAGTGTGGGACACTGCACTGTAAGCTCTTAACATATTTTAATTTATTTAATCAACGACGACCATTATGGACTTCGTGGCCAGTGTTAGGTTTGTTTTGCTTTTGGTTTCCGCGCTTTGACGACTTTGTCGTTTTCAATTTTTTATGGTCAAAAAGTAATCTTTGCATGTAAAGAGGAAGAATTAAAAGAAGTTATTTAGGTATGGGTCTCTCAGTATGTGCAGTGTACACGTATTAATGCATAATCAACAAACTACATGCATGGTCAAAACTCAAATCAATATATTTATATCTATTAAATTAATATATTTATATTCTTATCTAGAATATCTTTAACCAACCAACCTGGATTTCAAGAATAATAAAACTCAAATCAATTTGGTTGGTTTATAATTATATGGATGTCTCAATTTATCAACTTGGTTTTTATAGAGCCTTTTGTATGGTGCAGGGATATTTTGGTGATTTAACAGCAATAGATTCGAGAAAAAGAGTGAAAACAAAACCACCGAAAGTGACTATAAAGTATAAAACGGTTCTTTAATTAGCGAAAATCAAGTAAATGACAAAATAGTATAAACGGTTCTATCTAGCTGCATAGGATTCGGCAGCAAATGAAAGATATTTTGGTCATTTTACACTAAAGATAGCAACTTTGCCCGCCACATGACAGAAGCTATAATAAACCAGAATCCGACCCATACGGCCATCAGACGCTGACCCACAAAACCCACGCAAAAAACAGAGCACCAAAATACTTGGATAGAGAGCATATTTCTATTTATCAAAAAAAATTTTTTTTTCACAAAAAAAAAAGAATTACTAGCAGTAGTTGTTAAAGGCTATTTCACCATTTAATACTTGAAAAAAAAGGAAAAGAATATTGAAATTTCACGAAATTATGCTAATTTAGCAACCCTACTTGTCTATTTTTCATTAGGAAAGTGTAATTTTAGTAAGTATTATACCGTTTTATTTGTAATAATTACATACAATTATAATTTGTTAACATAATTTTCATTTTTTTATTATAATATATTATATTAATAATATTATAGTAATAGAAAATGACATGCCAGGTGAAATAACTAATTTTATGTAATAATGAGCTTTGCCTAGTTGGCAGCAATAATTTTGTTTCTAAAACCGTAACGTTTGACGGTTAAAAACAATTAGAGACTAATTAGCAAAAATAAACCTATCTAAATATGTAAGGTGCCAGAGTTTATACTTTTGTTTAAAGCAAATTAAACTTTAATAATGGCTTACCGGCGGTAGGAAACGGGGACAATTCCGGCACGGTACTCGGCGATCTTGAGGAACATAGGCATGGCAAGGTCAAAATGGGGGCGAGGAGGGTTACACCAGCCACCGTTGTCATTAGGAAGAGCATAATTAGGTGGGCAAAAATTTGTAGCAGTAATAAAAATAGAAGGGCTGCCTGAATGACACCATTGTGGGTCATTTGCGCATTTTATTTCAAAACAAGCTCCACAACTAAGTCCATTGTTAAACAGAGCTGTGCTTAATGCTGCAGTGTTCACTCCATAGCCTTGGCTATACAAGTTACCATATCCACAAGCTCCGCCTATATAAAACCAAAAACACTAGATCTTAAACTAATGCCGAAAAAAATAAATGACATTTTCTTAGTCCGTGATGAAATATAGTATAATACAATTCTTGTATTATATTACACTTCATTATGAATCTAACATCAGATTTTGTAAAATTCGATGTTAAACTCATAATTAAAAACTCAGTGAAAGATATAACTGAGCTGCGAATAATGAAGGAAGATGAAGAGAAAAAGAGTGACATACCCATAGTGCCTGAAGCATCAGAACCGCCATAGAAGGTAGCATGAGCGGTTTGCCATGCTCCGCCCATGTAATTACCAGGGATTCTAGCTTCAGCAACCACCCACATTAGTGACATTACTACACTTGCAACGGAAAGCATCCTAACCATTGCCATTTTTACTAAATGCAATTCTAGAGAGAGAGAAAAAAGAGAAAGAGAGAGAGATTGTGTTAATGGAGATGTGAGGGACTAAGGAGAGGGAAGGTAGAGTACTTAAAGAGGAGGCTACAGGGGTATCAATTGGAATTTTCAAACAAATCCATCATTAATAGGGTCTTGTTCTTGTTCTTGCTTGTGCGTGTGAAACTAAAATGGATTTTCTGCTACTGTTTATTTCTTCCACTCTCTCTTTCGCATTTGTCATATACGCTCCAATTGTGTTAGTCCTTTTCCGGATATATGTGGGGCCTATAGAAATTACAAGCGTATTTCTCCCACTTGATTGGAGATAATTTTCTACTCGCTCTTTGGTGCAAGTGTTTTAAATATACATATAATATATTTTTTCTCTTTAGGGACTATTGCCCAGTTTTCCTCTTACGCGTGAAATTACTGCTTACTTTGTTTGTCGGAATTAATTTATTTTTTTGAAAACATATTTTTTTTTAAAAAATTTTAACAAATCTTTTAACTTTATTCTAATATTTAAAAATTGTTAATTTTGTAAATTTATAAAATATTCAAATTTATTAATAAATATAAAAAATAATATATTAAAATATTTACTATATATATATATATAATTGTTGTACTTTTTGAACTTGTATGATAATATACTTATAATTTTTCGAAAAAAAAAATATAATGAAGAAAACGTGGATATGCAATTTACATATATAATTGACAATAGAAAAAATGTAAATTTATAATTGAATTATTGATGAATGATTAAAGATTTATTCAAATTAGGAGGTCAAAAATATTATTGAGAAGGAAAAGTTAATAATTTAATATTTTTTGGGAAAACAATTTCATATTAATAATTGTTAGCAACTGAAAAATATGAATTGAATTCAATTACATAACAAAAAAACATGATAAATTAATCATCATAATTTGAAATGCTCAAAAATATAATTTAAATTATGGAATGCTATTCTTTATCTAATTAAAAAGTTAAATAAGCATTTGATTTTCCAAAATCACACTGGAAAATATGTATTTTCAGAAAAATTACTTAATAATGTGATGCAACTAACAAGCAAGATAATTCTAAAAAAAAAAAAAAGAATACGCGTTGGGTCCCACCATTCACACTATTTTAGCAATGCTAAAAATTGAATTAAAATCAGAAAATCAGGACAAAAGGAAAATGAAAGAGGAATATTCATAAAAGAGTAAGACCCACTTGTTTTTTGTCTGGCCACGTAATTTCTACTTTCTACTGTATCTCATGCTTATATAACGTGACATCACTTAAGGGATGATACGTGGAAATAAATAAATTTATTAATTAATAAAATAAAAAGAGTACGAATCGAGTACAGCATGAAAAGAGTAAAGATGACACAGATCTAGAGAACCAAGCTAAGTAAGCTTTGCGTTGAGCTTAAGTTTTGGCGTGATGAGCGGTTGTGATTTCAAACGAGATTTCGTGCTGGGGTCGACAGCAAGATCTTAGATGGATACAAGCTAGAAGACACTGAGAGACCCAAAGGGCATCCAACGTGGGGATATGGGACCCACCTCCCTTCCCATAATTATTATTTGTATTTTTTTTTTAAAATTAAAGATTAAATAACTCCGTAATTATCGCTCCATATACTCCGGCGGGGTTTAACCGTAAGCGGGGCACACAGAAAGGAGCACAATCTCGAGCCGCACGCGCGCACGCAGACAATGACTACTCTCCACGCCTAATTTTTTCGCTTTTAACCTTTTTTTTTTTTTTTTTTTTTTTTTTTTTTTTGATTAAAATTAACTCCGTATTATGGGGCTCATATACTCCGGCGGGGTTTATACCGTAAAGCGGGGCACAACGAAAGGAGCAAATCATCGAGCCGTGCACGCGCGCCCGCAGACAATGACTACTCTCCACGTCCTACATTTTTTCGCTTTTAAAACCTGTGTTTTTTTTTTTTTTTTTTTTTGTTTTGTTTTTTTTTTAACAGAAAAAAACTCTCAATTTGCTAAAAAAGTGAACATTTTGGTTTCTGTTCGCAAGTAATTAAAGTTTTAATTCTATAGGTTTAAGATAATAAAAGGTTTTGTCCAATGAGTGGTTTATTTATCTATCTTGCTTTTAACCAAAATATGAATCGATTATTTTTAAGGGTAAAATATCCAATGACGTACGCCGAATTTTTTTAATTACAATTTTACTGTTTTGGTATCATCCCGCTCCGTCGTCGTCAAAGAAGAACGTAAATCTTTTTTTTTTTTTTTTTTTTTTTTTTTTTTTTAAAGAAAAACTCTCAATTGCTAAGTGAAATTTGTTCTTCACAAGTAATTAAAGTTTAATTCTTAGGTAAGATAATAAAAGTTTTGTCGACATGAGTGATTTATTTATTATTTGTTTAACCAATATGAATGATTTATTTTTAAGGTAAAATATACCATGACGTACCGAATTTTTATTACAATTTTACTGTTGGTTCATCCCGCTCCGTCGCTCCGTCAAAAGAGTAAATTTTTTTTTCAAAAAAGTAATCATATCCTTTTAAAAAAGCAAGTCTAACTAATAGTAAATAACTGATTTTTTGGAAAAAAAAATTTGATAATTCATTTAAATTAAAATTTAAGCACGCCTTAATAATTGCTCAAAAATAAAGAGATGAAATTATTAATTAAAATATAATTTAAGGATCCAAGTATATTTTTTCCTTATTTTTAATTGAATTAGAGATATACAATATGTGCATATATTGATGCATTCTGATTTCTTTTGTTTTATTAAATAATTTTCTTAACAAATATATTATTTGGTTATAATATTAAAAATTAATTAAAATACTAATATTTATAATTTATAAGAATGTGAAAATATTTATAATTGTGGAAATTTTATATTTTTAAAAATTAAATGTAAAAAATGTATAAAAATTTGTTACAGTTATTTACTAGTGAGCCATAGTATGCATGGATGATAGTGACTATTATAGTGAATATGTTTATAAAGTCATAGTAAATTTATCAATATTGAATAATGTTTTCCTTTTAAAAATAGAAATTCATTTTCTTTAAAATGACTCACTTTTCTTTGACTCAAAAAATTTTCTTTTCATTGATTGATTTTTCCAAGTATTCTAAACATTAAAAATTTTAAAAATAATTTATCTAGAAAATATTTTTCGATAAATATTCGGAGCCTATATGTTTGATATCATATCGTTATTTAAATTATTTAAAAAATATTTTTCATTAAGTTAGAGTTCAATAAAACATTTTATGAAGAAGTCATTAAAATTTATCTTTAAGTTAATTTCGAATATTTTCATCATAAACTTATTAAAATAATTCTTTTTGTCATTTTATTAACTAAACAAATTCATAGTTGGTCATTAGTAAATGATTGGGCGGCTTAAGTTGTGTCATTTCACTCACTTTAGCATGAGTATGCAATTGGACTAGCTTTTGCATCGTCATTTACGTAGAATGTTTTAAAATTTGAATTTGGGATAAAGATGAAGAAATTAGGTATAATTCAACTAGGTAATCAACAAATTTGCTTTGTCTTTGTTCATCGGATAAGTAGTTACTTTTCCTCGGTCACAAAATCGAATTTGAAATCTTCTATTTCTTCTCGTATATTTTATAAGATCTGAAAAGATTAATCGATAAATATGCATGACCATTTTTGAAGTAAAAAACGACTCTCGACCGCTTTTATTTTTTAAATAAAAAGAAAGTATTTAAATCCTAACAGATTATACGAGGCTAAATAATTTTTATTAATTGTTCAACTATATATTAAACTAATTAAAGAAAACTATATACTAAAACTTACTAATTAATGGCTAGTTTATTATTATTTTATTAATAATTTTTATGTAAAATGTTATAATTATGTATATAATTTGTTACTTTATGAATTGTAAGCTGCACCTTGTATAACTTTTAAATAATTTAAAATGCAATGAACTAGCATAGTAGAATTTAAAAAGCTACCTTACGTTTAATTCATGTTCACAAAATTAATTATCCTAATAACTACTACTTTTGTTTCAAAATATAATAAATATTTTTTTTCATACTTACCCTTTGTATATGATTAATAATTATTACTTCAATTTAATGATTTTCTTGGAGAATTAATATTAAATTTAGAATAATGTAGTCAATGTACTCGATAATTATTGTAATTTAGACATATTTAATGGTTTTCTTAAGGAACGTGAAATTACAAATGTGACAAGTATTATGGAAAAGATGTAGTATTAGTTATTTTAATACTCTCTCTGTCCTAAAAAAAATAGTTCACTTTCTATTTTCATACAGATTAAGAAAGCCGTAATTATTATGATTAAATGAAATTTTATTCATATGACTTTATTATCATGCTCATTTTAAATAACATATGAGCAATTATTATATTAAAAAATAAGTAACAAGTAATAAAAGTTATTGAAAACAATATAAAATTAATAAGGATATAGTAGGCAATTTAAAGATTAACTATGATGAAAAAAGGAAAGTGAACTATATTTTGGAACAAACTAAAAAGGAAAGAGGATTATCTTTTTATGACAGAGGGAGTAGTTGTTAATTATTTTACTAGCACTTTATTAAACGTTTATACTCTAAACACTATTATATCATAATAGAGATAATATTTTAAATAATATAAACATAATATAATGAAATTAAAGATATTTTTAATATAAAATTTACATTAAAAATGTCTTTTATTACATTATATCACGTTTTATCACAACTAACCAAATAAACAGTCAAACTGCAAACAGTTTTATCACGTTTAAAAAATATATATATTATTAGTAAAACGTTTAACTAATAATATAAATAACAACTTTGTTTATCAATTGGATTAAATAATGTTCTTTCTTTATGTTGACTTTGTAGGGATACAATCAATATTTAAAACCCTAATTGCAATGAACAAAAATTTTTTTAGGAGAACTAATGAAGTCTAAATTGCAATTATTTATTAGTAAAAATTCCAAATAATTGATATTTGGATTAAGAATTACAATTGGTTACTATAATTTATAATTTATAATTTATAATTTATAAACATCAAATTAAAAGAAATTTAACTATTGGGTTTAAAGCAAAATATGGT